GTGCCTTAACAAAGAGAAGCGGGCCCCTGTTAACAGGTCATAGACGCTCAAAGGGCGTATCTACAAAATCAACATACGTTGTTTTTATGTCAGTTGTCATGGCTTCCTCCAAAGAATTCTGGTTTGGTGAGGGGTCTGTGTCTCCTCAGTTAGACTTCTGTTCCCCCTCTCAGAGTACAGCCCCCAGAATTCCTTTGGGAGAGAGAATGACTTATGCTGGTTTAAAATTTGTGCCACAGACATGTTCTCACACAACACCTTGCCTTACTTCTCTGCAACTCTTGCCACCGCTCCACCTTTTAATACATTAACTGAGAATACTTATACTCTGGCTCTTCTGGGAGGGAAACAGCTGCTGTGGATGAGTCAAGAAATAAAAAGAGCCATTCATCCACAACCTTCCTTAAATGGTTGATTCCCACTTGCAGCCTGTCACAGTACAGTGGTACCTCAGGTTAAGTACTTAATTCGTTCCAGAGGTCCGTTCTTAACCTGAAACTGTTCTTAACCTGAAGCACCACTTTAGCTAATGGGGCCTCCTGCTGCCGCCGCACCGCTGGAGCACGGTTTCTGTTCTCATCCTGAAGCAAAGTTCTTAACCTGAAGCACTATTTCTGGGTTAGCGGAGTCTGTAACCTGAAGCGTATGTAACCTGAAGCGTGTGTAACCCAAGGTACCACTGTAAAGTGCATTCTGACATTTCATTTTGACACGGTGCATTTTTATTCTGCCCTTTCTCCAAGGAGCTCAGGTTGACAGGCAGGGCAGGCTCAAAGCGAATAACTTACCAAGCTTTTATAGCAGAGCAGTGGTTAGAACCTGTTTTTTCCCTGCTCTATCACTTTGTTCACAACGCACATTGGTCCCACTTAGTAGTTATTGCATATAAGCAATCTCCCAGCTGAACTCTGCGAACAAGCATGGATTGGTGGGTGAGTGAAGGGGCTCAAACTCTGTGAAACCCACCAATCCCAGTGACAAGTGAGCATCACCTGCTGCCTTCATAATCACAACCTGAGCTCAGGTAGTGCTGCTGGTTCGTAATGTATGGAAAGGATCGTGTCCATCAATTTTGTGCCGGCTGTAGGTGCAAAAGCTGCAAACCCCACACACCATTTTTGCACAGGTGACTACTGACTCTTGTTTGTAAATGTCAGAGAGAGCCCGCTGTGGTTACGGTGAACAAATGTTCCCCCTCTGCTTTTGCAGAGTCGGGGGTAGGGTGGGGAATTAAGGTCAACTTTATTTTTATTCAAGACATTAAAAGAGAGAGGATGGCAGTTAGTCACAGGGCGTTTGCAGCAAGATCAGATAAAAAAATACAGTACCAGAGAGATCTCGGCTTATAAAATTTGATTTTGAAGGAAGGCTCAAAAACGGTATTACGCTAAATATACAAACTGGTACAGAGCCAGGAATTAGAATGAAATTTCGATCTGAACTGTTGGAATCAAGATCCTGGACAAGAAATTCAGACAGATCCAGGGAAGTGGATATGGCCAAAAGTCCCCCAATAACCTGTGCTATCTCTTAAATGAAGTTTTTAAAAGTTTATGCTCCACTGATATTTAAAATCATCATGTCCCAAACACATATATAATACTGCAAGTAATCAACAGTGGAGAATGCAGGAATGCTGCATATTTTCTGGGCTTGTCTCAAAGTTTAAAAATTCTGGGAGGATGTAGCAACTGAAATCAAGGTAATAATAGGATAGGTAAAGGGACCCCTGACCGTTAGGTCCAGCAGTAGATGACTCTAGGGTTGTGGCGCTCATCTTGCTTTATTGGCCGAGGGAGCTGGCGTACAGCTTCTGGGTCACGTGGCCAGCATGACTAAGCCGCTTCTGGCGAACCAGAACAGCGCACGGAACCACTGTTTACCTTCCCACCGGAGTGGTACCTATTTATCTACTTGCATTTTGACATGCTTTCGAACTGCTAGGTGGGCAGGAGCAGGGACCGAGCAATGGGAGCTCACCCCATCGCAGGGATTCGAACCGCCGACCTTCCGATTGGAAGCCCTAGGCTCTGTGGTTTAGACCACAGCGCCACCCGCGTCCCAATAATAGGATACACATGACCTAATAATTGTTCCCGTGACGCTCACTGGGCGACCTTGGCCTGTCACTGCCTCTTAGCCTAATATACCTCACAGGGTTGTTGTGAGGATGAAGTGAGGAGGGGAGAACCATGTACACCACTTTGAGCTTCTTGGAGAAAAAAGGTGGGATATAAATCCATTAAATATTTGGCTACTTTGAAGACATAGTATTAAAGGAAGATTGAACTGGTTCAGCATTTACTGACTGCCAGCGGAATAGTTATCTGTTATAACTGGAAGAAATCAAAGGCACCATCCCTGTACAATTGGGTAATCAAAATTTGGGATATTGTTCACAAATACTTGTAATAATATAATTAAATAACAACAACGGACAAACTCACAAATGTGGTAAGTTCCAGAGAAGGCGGACAATCAGGTGATTATATTTTTGGGGGGTGAAGAAGTGAGTGTCTTTATAATTTACTGGATTGATAAGGTCCAAGATATTGTAAAACTGTGTATACTGCTTGGACATTTATAACTTGATATTATTATATTATTATAGCAGCACTATCATAACGGAATTTTACTTTAAATTGTATTATTTAGATTCTCCTCTATTAAGCATAGCAGAGTTTCCCCCCGTGCATCTTATTTTTATTTTTATTTTGTATATGGCATTTTCAATAAAAATTCTAGAAAAAAATAAAAATAAAATTATAGTAGGTTCATGCTTAACTTGAGCTTGAGGTAAAGAAATAGAAGGGGGGTGTTTGGCCTCGGACATTTTTGTACCTGTAACGAAAACACCCTGTTCTATTCTGAAACTCATTTAGAGAGAGAGAGAATGAATGATAAACAAAGACAGGTTGGAGACAAGAAAACTGGGCCTCTTGGGGTCCAAAGGTACTGCTTTGTATCGCATAGTGTTAGGTACAACTGTAGGGGAGGTTGCAGCTGCCCTAGAATCACAGACTCATAGAGACTGAAGGGGACCTTCCAAGGGTCATCTAGTCCAACCCCCTCCAATGCAGGAATCTCTACTAAATCACCCATGACATATGGCCTTCCAAACTCTTACTGTGCTGTGGGCTAAGTGTTCTTGTTTTTTAATAGCATGGAAACATGCAAGGTAACTTGCTAGCATCAGACAGCTGATTAAGGCAGAGCTACAAGTGAATGGTTGAAAAGTTGGGGAACCAACCTTTAATTCAGTAAATCAACTAAAAGTTTAGTTAATTACTCCATGAATAACACTATTTGAATCAGTGAGCAAAGGAGTTAAGTGCATGCTGGTTTATTAATTTCTTTTGCATCCCAGTATGATAGAAATCCAACACATCCTAAACAGGCTCATGAATTAACTATGCCCTTTCCCCCTGCCCAGTAATGTGGTAGTTTTTGTTGATAAACTGTTTTATCCATTTCTTTCAAAGGCTCCTAAACTGAGATTTTGATAATATGTAAATAGATGTAAATGCTAATAGACAAAATGAATCTGTTATTTAAGCATATTTCCAGTTTTTCCACTTGACTTTCAAATGTGTTTTCTTTTGCTCTTACAAATTGCAAACTGCAAACTGCATAAGCTCATTCTGCAAATTTTTGATAAGCATATCAAAAATATAACATTATAAAATATCTAGTAGAATTAAGTGGAATTAAAATATCAGTATTTTAAAAAACAACAGTATAAAGACTAGCAATACCAACAGTAGTTCCAATATTAACCGTACTAATGTTTTATTATAAATAATGGATGGTATTCAACTATGTTTTACTCAGAGAAGAACTACAGAAATTGAAATTAATGTTCAATGGGATTGCTCTGGGTAAAACTTAGTTAAATACTGTCCAATAGTAGTAAGTAATATTAATCTTTCATGGGATAACTTGGCAAAGTAATTACTGGAAGAAGTTTATCAGAACCGTTCTCTGTATTTCATATTCAAAATATGTCAAAAACAGCAAAGCTAAAAGTTAAACGGCGTCTATAAAGCCACCATACTTGTGTATGTGCTTTTTTGTTTTGTGCACCTATGTGCAAGTACAGGCAGAGAGGCACAAACATATCGAGTCCTCAACCTACACACAAATGCCCCAATTAATAGTATCTGTGCAATCAAAGACACAAAATGGGTTCAATCATAAACTGGTTTAATTAGCAGAGTAATCTAATCTGCCGGAGCTATCTTTAATTGACAAGCGTAAATTTTAATTAGAGGGGCTGTGAATTAAGGGCACAATTGTTTATTATGCTTAACCCTATTTGATCCTTAGGTGTGGTTTCGATATGGAATGGAAAAGAAAATATTAAGACTGCAATTCCCTTCTAACAATTGTAAGTTGCTACCTGCTTACTGAGATTTTGGAAATATGCAACGCAGTTAAAGTCAATCATTTTTTTTTAAAAAAGTCAATCAGTTATCAGGCCATCGGGCAGCTAAAATATCTTTCCGCAAAGAATATCTGCTGTAAGAAGGGCTGCATCCTGCATTAGGGTAAGAATTATGTCTATTGCTTCATAGGTACTCATACACAAACCAGTAGCACAACCCCAAACTGTTTATGTGCCTCCTGAATCACAGCTCTCTGGCTTTGGGCTATATATTGGACCAGTACTGATCTCACTGGAAATCAATCCAATGCTCTCTTGAAGTCTCCAGAGTTCGAATCAGCAGCCTTAATAGCTTTCCTAGTCTTTTCAGGGAGAATCCTGCAAATGCACATAAAGTTGCCCACTTCATTGAAATGAAAGCGGGGAGAAAAGGAACAAACAGGCACCAACGAGCACTTCATCAGGGATCTGGTTGTGAACGCAACTTCCTGTACAAGGTACGCTACTAATTCCTGCACCAACATAAGCTTTCGAATCATCCCAGGCAGAACAAACATGTGAGTTCCTCACCAACACTTCCAGTGCGATTTCATGATAAAAGCATGTTTTCTCTTACCAATGAATTTCTGAGGCATGGAACTTTTCCGTTTGGCCACGTTGCTCGCTAAGCGGTCCAGCACAAGGGCCCGTTCAGTCCCCATCTCGGCTTTGATGTGCCTTCCCTCCACGCTTTCTAGATGAGGGAAAACGAAGAGAAAAATCAGGCTGAAAAGAGGGGAGAACAAAAAGAAAGGGAGGGAGAGAGAGCGATGTAGCAAAGAAGGGGGAAAGAGATAGTTGCCCTCAACACTTCAGCCAGGAAAGCTGAGTGGAACTTGTGGTAGAGTAGCTGTTTTCTTCTTGTTGTTCTCAAACCTCTGTTTCACCCCTGTGGTCAGCAGAGCTAAGGGGCAAAAACACCACACACACTGAAACCTTGCAATTTCTCAGACTCACAAAAGGGAGCAAACAACCTAACGGAATTAACATCTTGATTGTACACTTCCTCTTGCTAATGAACAGTCTGGACCTTGTAGTTTGTGAAACGCAGAGGGAGACTTTGTCCCGCCCATCTTTCCATTTGATTTTGAGTAAGACTTGCAAGACACCTGCAGGCAGGCCCAGAACACATGAAAAGGCAAATGCGAAAGGGGAGCGTTCAGCCCTTTGATGGATGTGCTAAGAAAAAAAGCGCTTTGATGGAACCACAACATCTTCACCCTTTGAAACATGCTTGGTTTATCATTAATATTAGCACTGTTTGAAACAGAATGCTTTATTGTGGAATGCTCCTGTTCAGTGCTCCAGCCAGTCATAACCTCTCCGCAAGACACCATTCAATTCTCCCTCCCTAACCCAAACAGACACACAACATTCTGTGATCACTGAACATGCTCACTGGGGGTTTTTTTTTGGGGGGGGTAGGGATGCTGATGTTATTTTAGCCTTCAAAGTCCCCCCCCCCAATATTCTTTGTATTCCTCTAAGCATGCAAAGTCCTCTCTCTTATTTCTCAGTGGCCCTATTTTGGTTACTATCCTGTTCAGAAGCAGCTCGCCAGCTGGGGCAGAACCATTATGTTAGCTTCCTAGCAGGCAGGTTGCTATTGCTTTCCAGGAGGCAGGGAGTGGAGGGAGGCCAGTGCGGTGAAAACTTTCTGGCAGGAGTGCTAGATTGGCTTTGCCAGTCGGTTTTTACTGCACCGACTTCCCTGCTGTTTCCACACTCCCTATCTCTCTCTGGGATGCAACAGCAACCCACCTGCTGGGAAACTAACATAGAAGCTCCACCCTACCCAGCAAACTGCCTCTGACCCTGTTGGCACTCAGCAACTGAGTTTGCTGTTAGTGGGAGTGATCATTATTTATTAAATTATACAGAGCAACTGAGGTACATGACACATACTATTACATAAGGTGTGTGTGGTGGGGGGAGTCTCTGCCTTGAGGAGTTTATAATCTAAAGAGGTGACAGCAAAGCATAAAGGAGGGAGAGAAGACAAGGAAAGAGTTCGTATGCAAAACGGTCCATGCGGTGAGCCCCCTTTTTCAATGTGGCTGCATAATTCGCACAGAGCCTCCCACTTTGCCTGAGGCGTCACTATGGAAAAGAGGCTCCTATGCAGCTGTATGGAAGTGGAAGTGAGAGCTGGACCACAAAGAAGGCTGATCGCCGAAGAATTGATGCTTCTGAATTATGGTGCTGGAGGAGACTCTTGAGAGTCCCATGGACTGCAAGAAGATCAAACGCATCCATTCTTAAGGAAATCAGCCCTGAGTGCTCACTGGAAGGACAGATCGTGAAGCTGAGGCTCCAATACTTTGGCCACCTCATGAGAAGAGAAGACCCCCTGGAAAAGACCCTGATGTTGGGAAAGATTGAGGGCACAAGGAGAAGGGGACAATAGAGGATGAGATGGTGGGACAGTGTTCTCGAAGCTACCAACATGAGTTTGACCAAACTGCGGGAGGCAGTGGAAGACAGGAGTGCCTGGCGTGCTCTGGTCCATGGGGTCACAAAGAGTCAGACACGACTAAACGACTAAACAACAACAACATGCAGCTGCAGCTGAAGAGCAGCCTAGGCTGTTTTCAGTTATGATATGAGGTGCAAAGGGGTCGACGAAAAGCTTCAGGACAAAAGGCTTAATGGAAGAATTGTGCTTTACAAAAGAACTGCAAGACAGAGGCAGCACCTTGTGAGGGGAAGCAGGAGAGAATGGACAGTCTGCAGAAATATCACACCTTCTGGTGTCCGAGGGCAGCCACGGTGGAAGAGTGAAAGTTATGGGCATCAATATATATATAAGATATAAGGAGAGCAAAGCCAAGGAAGGCTTGGAAGACAAAGACTTAAACTGAAAGCAAGGAAGCAGTGATTCCAACGGATCTGTGATTTCTTTCTTTTAAAAAACAAAAGCACACAAAACAACGCTTACTGGTTTACAAGGATCACAAACTCTGAAGAATGCTATAAAGAGAAAACAGCAAGGAAAGTTTCAACGCAGAAAAATCCCCTTTGTCACTATGTCATGTTAATAAAGCAAGACAGAACAACAACAATGAGTTAATTCTCTCCATCCCAATGGGAAGTAAAGGGTCCAGTTAAAGGACTGCTAATATTCTTTACATTCTGTCTATAGATCTGGCCTTGTATCCAACAGGAATAAGTGGCTCACCAGGTGGGGCCGAGCCGCTACGCGAACTTCCTGGCAGACGGGTCACCGTTGCTTACCAGGAGAGAGACGAGGCGTCGGGGTGTCAGCACAGTGCAAACACACCGCCCTTCGCCTCTCCCTCCCACCTGCTAGCTTTGTGGCTCCACCCCCACGGCAGTCTGGAGCAGAGATTTTCCAACTGTGTACTCTTCAGTTTGGAGCCTTGTCACTCTATCTGGGAAGCTTATTGCTAGTTCTTTAATGAGATTGCTGAGATTAACAGGCAACCTTTTCTGAGTGGCGGCTTGTTCTCAATGCATTTCTCCGCACAATATGGAGACAGGAGAAAGTGCTGGGTGTGTTCTAGGTCACACAGACATCATAGTGTAACAGTGGGTGGCTCTGATAGTACTGGCCACAGCTTCACACAAACCTAGAAGATGTCTCAGAATTTTTATTTTAAAAAGAGGCAGGACAAATTTGTGGCATCCTAAATACTCAAAAATACATTGTAGCTGCATAAACCCACTGCATCTGATGTTTTGGTGGTCCCTGAAAGCTTATGTCACATTGAATGCAGGCCTTTTTTTACAAGTGCATTTTTAAAAATTAATTTCCATTTAATTTTTTGCAAAACAATTGAAGTAATAATAAAATTTCACAGTACCAAAAAATAAAATGAAATAAAATTCAGATAATCCCTAACAACATTTTAAATTGACCTGAAAGATGGTTCACCTTCATGAATTCAGTGTCTCTATGAACCCATTTAGGGTGTTAAGGCTGAAAACATAAGGGTCCCAGGGTCTACAGGCCACCATCTTGCTGAAGCGCCACAGGTCTGTATCTGGACAGGGCCTACATGGCTGATGGCCTGGGAACCACAAGTACATTGCCTTGAATTCCATGATGCCAGATGATTGACAGATGGGTGGCTCCCGCCTACCTGTTAAAGCTGGCCTGTGGAGTGGGAGGGGGGGATAAAGATTTCGTCTGCCTAGCTGGAAAGGTTCCCCACCCCCGGGGATAATGTAAGAAAATAAATACAGTGGTAACTCGCGTTAAGCACTTAATTCATTCTGGAGGTCCGTTCTTAACCTGAAACTGTTCTTAACCGGAGGTACCACTTTGGCTAATGGGGCCTGCCGCTGCCGCCGCACGATTTCTGTTCTCATCCTGAAGCAAAGTTCTTAACCCGAGGCACTATTTCTGGGTTAGCGGAGTCTGTAACCAGAAGCGTCTGTATCCCGAGGTACCACTGTAAATAAGGAATAAGAGCCCCTCTGAATAATATTGAAAGTTCCCCCTAATCCAGCATGCTTCTTTTAACAGCAGGTGGCCACAAGGTCTCTCTGTGGCTTTTCCAGAGAGCATAAAATGATGACCTCTTTGAAATTTGTCCCAGAGGAAGGTTCCCATAATGAATAAAATGTGTGCTTAAATAAAATAACACAGCATTAACCACAAAGGCGTGATAGGTGAAACTTGCAGCACTGTAAGTTAACCCTTTCGACAACTTGTTTTGACAACTTAGCTTCAAACTCACCTCAGGCATATTTGAATCGGCACTGAAATTAGTCACATACACACAAAAAGGGCCATAGGCAGATTACTTAATTTGCTTGCTTGCACTTTACACAGCATTTTGAAACTGAAGGCAGAGGGCCTTCAAAGCACTCCTGTCCCAAAACCGCAGTACAGAAATTAGTCAACATGGATGAGGGGGAGGGGGCCTGGTTAATCACTGCTGGGACTGTAGCACGTTGAGGACTGTTGTCCTGATTGAAAAAAAGACTGGCCTCAATACGCAAGATGTCGCACGTGCCACAATTCTGTGGAAGCACAGAAAGTGCACATTATGTGATTGCGGGCGCAAAATTCAGTTTCCTAAGAAACTCATGTTTCTGTCTTTCCTTTTTCTTTTGCTTTTTTGGAAAAAAGAAAGAAAGAACAGGTTTATAAACTTTATGGCTGGGGTGACTTAATGCAGCTTTTCTCAAGAAAGAATGTGGATTGCCTGGTGCAGAATTTTAGCATAGAGTACAGCCTGGTCCCGATCAGAAGGTCAGCAGTTTGAATCCCTGTGACGGGGTGAGCTCCCATTGCTCGGTCCTTGCTCCTGCCAACCTAGCAGTTCGAAAGCACGTAAAAGTGAAAGTAGATGAATAGGTACTGCTCCGGCGGGAAGGTAAATGGTGTTTCCATGCGCTGCTCTGGTTCGCCAGAAGCGGCTTAGTCATGCTGGCCACATGACCCAGAAGCTGTATGCCGGCTCCCTCGGCCAATAAAGCGAGATGAGCGCCGCAACCCGAGAGTCGGTCACGGCTGGACCTAATGGTCAGGGGTCCCTTTACCTTTACCTTTACAGCCTGGTCCAACCATTAGGTAGTGTAAGGCAATTGCTTGAGGCAACAGATTCTGGGTGTCATGAAAGGGCAGCAAATTGTTTTATGTATTCTAATTGCATTTTTACTCTGAGGGAGAGGCACTTGGTGGATTTTCTGTCTCAGGTGCCAAAATGACATGCTTAGTCTTAG